GGAGGGATTAAACTATACATTTTCCAAAAAAAAAAAAATCAAGCTTATATCTTTTAGGAAGTAAAACCTGCAAGTCTACCAATTCAAAATGCAAGATTAACTCTCAGCACTGAACATCTTGTATATGCTAAAGCACCTGAAATGCATCTTACCATTTTATCCTTACCACAATCTTTGAAGGATGAGATGATAATTCTCATTTCATACCTGAGAAAAGCATGGTAGGGTTGGAAGACAGGCCCAGAGCTCACCATTAGAGAGTAGACTTGCTCAGCTCTGTTATTCTGTTATTCATTATATTATTCTATTCTTTATGCACAGCAGGATCAGAGCAGGGGGTCAGTGGTAAACAGTCACGTCAGTGCCAAGTCCTGGGACAATGCTAGCGAAAAAGCCTGTCCTTTATGTCATTCAGTCCTCTCTTCAGTGGGTCAGCAGCATACACCGAGTGCCCTTGCTCAGGACATTCTTACCAAGACACGCTGAGGAGTCACAAAGAAAGGGCAGCCCATGACCCTACACGTGTCTGTGTGTCTGTGTCTGTGTTTCTGTGTGTGTCTCTGTCTGTGTGTCTGTGTGTGCTCTTGTTTGGCTTTTTACTCAAGACTAGCATTCTACCACTTGAGATACAGCTTCACTTCCAGCTTTTGGGTAGTTTATTGGAGGTAAGTGTCTCGTGGACTTTTCTGCTCAAGCTAGCTTCAAACCATGATCCTCAGATCTCATCCTCCTGAATAGCTAGGATTACTTGCATGAGCTACCAGAGCATGGCCCATGACCATACTTTTAAAGAATATGGACACTGAAAAAGTATGCACTGTGAAAAAATAAAGCTGTAGAGACAGTGAAACATATAGAGGCAAATAATGACAGTGACAACTTAGCGTGACCAGGACATGTGCCAAGACACCTAAAGGATCTCACCAGGGCAGGGCCAATCTGGGATGCTACTCAGAGGAAACAGGTATGAAGGCCTTTAAAAGTGGGACAGAATAAAGAGATGTTTAGCTCTTATTCCTGCTCAGCTTTCTTCACAGACCACAGAGATCCTGTCTCTGTCTTTCAGGTGAATGAAATGCACATTTGCTCTTGAGTCCAAATTTTCCTCCAGATCTTCCTTAATCTACATCAGCTTCCTGCAGCTAAGAACATGATTGATGAGGTTTTCAAATAGACAATGATTTTTTTTTGTGAGGGGGGGTGGGTGGAGATACACAAAGCTGAGCATCCTGAATCTGAAAATCCCAAACCTCTAAAATCCAAAACTTGTTGAGCCTCAATATGATGCATAAATGAAAAATTCCAAACCTAATTTCATGTTGAAACACAGATGCACTACAAATATTATATAAAGTTGCCTTTAGCCAGATGAGGTGGTTCAATTCTGGAATCCTAGCTACTTGAGAGGGAGAGATCATAGGTGGTTTGAAATCAATCTGGGCATAAAAATTTGCAAGACCCTATTTCAACTAATGTCTGGGTATGGTAGTATACTCCTGTTATCTGAACTGTAGGAAAAGCATAATGGCTGGGCACAGTGATATATGTCTGTCCTCAGTGACACAGGAAAGCATCGATAAGAGGACCCCAGCCTAAGCCAGTATGAGCATAAAATGAGAACCTGATTAAAAAATTAACCAACCAACCAACACAAAAAGGGCCAGAAGTGACTCAAGGAAGAGCACTTGCCTAATAAGTGCAAGGCCCTGAGTTCAATAATCCCCAGAACACACACACACACACACACACACACACACACACACACACACACACAGCCTCCTTTTTATTTCAGTAGCAGTGATTACATTATCCCTATTACTGAGGGTTAAATATGAATGATAGAGTACATATGACAATACTCTGCGCATATTAAATGTCATATATAACTATTCATTACTAAAAGAAAATTAAAAATGTAAAAACATCTGTTGAGTGCCTTCTGCACTGTCCATTTAGTGTATCAGTGATGGATCAAACCTTCATGATAATCCTAGAAGAAATGACAATCATCTCTACTTTATGGATATTAGTTGAGCCCAACAAAGTAAAAGAACTTGTTCCCTGCCCAGAAGTGATAGGGCACACCAAGGTGTATAGCTTCCTAACTCACACTCAATGTGACCTGGTGCCTCTGTCTGCCCACCAGCTGGGCATTTGCTCTGCCCTCTGCTGGTGATGTGGAGAAGTGTGCAGGTTTCCCAGAGACTTGCCCTGGATCCCAGATCTCATGAGTCACAGAGTTACTACTTAGATGGGTGGGGAAGCCAGGTGACTTGATCTCCTTTGTCCCACTCTGTACCTTAGAAGGAGGCTGAGCTAGTGCAATCGCCTTTGCCGTCATGGTCAGATCTAGTCGAAAATTTTGGTAGCATCAAAACCTCTGACCATCCGTCGTTCCTGGAGGACATCTCAAGCCTGTCTGTTTTTCTTGCAGTTATGTTTCGTCTCTATGACTCAGATGAGAATGGACTCCTGGACCAAGCAGTAAGTTCTCATTCTAAATATCCTTCCTGGATCTGAGAAAGGCTAGGGAGGAGGAAGCAGGCCAAGGAAGAATCTGAAAATGTTCCGTCCTATCCTCATAGCAATCGCAATGTTCCCAAAAGAAATCTGAAGAGTCCCCCATCTTCTACTCCAAAGAGCCAGCCAGCCTTGAAATGCATTGCCATTTCATTCCAGATGTCAAATCATAAAGTCTCAGGACAAGGAATGAGTTAGTATTGCATCTAACCTCACTTCCCCATTTAGAGACCTGGCTGAACTTTTCTGTTTCAGCCCAGTGGCCAACACAAAGGATTTAGAGGGGGCACAAGACAAGGGTGAGAGAGCAAGAGGGAGATTACTATGAGGTTTGATATCTCCCATGATTTCTTCTCCTACCCCAGGATTCCAGCCTAGGAGCCAGGTTCTGTCTGCTCTGAGCACACTATCCCACCCCATTGTACCTGGGAAAGCTTAAACTTGCCTCATCCCTTCAGGAATGTGCAGGGACAAGTTAGAAGAAACATAGAAAAGAGAGAGTCCTGAACTCAGGCCCTGAGGGCCTGTCTGGCCAAGCCAGAGTCAGAGCTCATTAGTATAGTACATGGGGCTGATTTGGACTGGAGGAAGGAAGGAAGGTAGGGAACAGAGTGAGTGAACAGATGATGTCAGAGGGAGGAAATGACAGAAGAGATAGAGGCGTTATGATGGTAGGAGAAGGAGGAGTAGGGGGTGGGGATGTGGCCAAACAAATCTGGCTTTACAGGTGATGGAAAGGGTTCATCTTTTCCTGGGGGCGGGGGGAGGACACAGAGATGAAGATGAGAGCAGAGGAGCAGTAACTCATGTCTTAACTGGAGCACTGGAGACGCTGTGCTGAGGGATACCAGTTAGGACACTGCTGAACCAATCAAGGCCTGGTTTCACAATAGTAAAGTATTGTGCTGTAGCAAGAAGGTTTATGAGAGGCCTGATGACAGAGACTGAAATGATTAAAGCATGACATGACAGTGACCTTGCATGAGATAGACATCTTGCAGGGTGCGGGAAGTGGTTAAATTATGGCTCTCTTTGAAGATAACATTGGTGAGCAGAAATGGCTCTCCAAAAAGTAAGAGGATTCAACTCTCCACGATCCCCCCCAATTTCCTGACTGATAAACTTGGCTTTTTGTGTGAATTCTCTCTCCCATGAGCAAGGTCCCCAACTCAGGAGTTACTCGCTTAGGACAACTATTACACCAGGCTTCCTTTCCTGCCCACAAGCGATCTCTGTCTGCCAGACAGCAGAACCCCTGCCGCTCTCTCCTCCTTCTGTCCCACCCAGGAGGGAGATCAAAACAAGGCTAAAACCCCTCACATCCTCCCCCTCCATTACCCCTGATTCCAGCAGAGCAAGACATCTACACCATGGGCCTTGGCGTTTTGAAGGTGCTCTCAAGCCAAAATGGCCCTCGTCTCCCGTGCTTCTCATAAGACAGTGAATAGCCTCTGGTTTGTCTATGCCCTTCTTAAAGTATGGAACTGAATGGGCCCCCATCATGGCTTTTTAAACATCACGGTGTGGCCTTACCAGGGGAGACACTGAGAATGAATTCTTTCTGAAATCTCCCATTCCACTTCTACTTAACATTGCCAATGACCAAGCCTAATTCTTGGTTTCGGAATCACATTTTCTAATTGAATCGTGAATTCAGGGAGATTCACAGGCTCCTTTCCACTGGAATTTCATATTTCTTTCCACTTCCCTGTGCACACCTGCAGCCCCATCCTGCAAGTTTTTCTATGGAAAATTAAGTGCAATACTATTCTTTGAATCCCTGTTGAGGCTTATTTTGCTTGCTTTACTCAGTGTTTCTACCTGGTGTAGGCAACAATTCTACTCATAAGTCTGTCCAGAGCAATCTTAATGTAAACAGTTTAGCTGATGCATAAGTTGGCAACCTTAACCCCTAATACTTCTTCAGCCAAGTATAATTCAGTGGGTCCCTCAGTGCACTGACTCATTATCACCTGTATCTATAAGATTCTATTCAGAGCTTGGCCTTGATATCCAAAGACTCACTCATTTATGAAGCAAACATATCCTTTATAAACTACTCGTCACAGGGTTCTAGGCTCAAGGCTAGTTTACAGTGCAAAGGGAAAAGGAGACACCAAACAAAATTCAGATCATATTGTCTGAGCAAGGACCAACACAGCAACCCTCCATCCAATTGATACTGACCCCAGAGAAGGTTAGATGGATCTCAAGTTGCTAAAACTGTGGGGATGAGGAGTGATAAAAGGAGAGGAGAAGCTCACACCTGCCATCCTAGCAAGTCTGTAAAACTAGAAATGCATCTGTAAAAATGGAAATAAAAATTGCCACATTTGGAGTATTGTAATGGGTTTGGTTTTGAGTTTTACTCTTGGAGAAAAGGAGACTGAGATCTGAGGACCAACTCGAAGCCAGCCCAAGCAGGAAAGTCTGTAAGACTCTTATCTCCAATGAATCAACAACAAGCTGGAAGTGCATTAGCTCAAGTGGTAGAGCACCGTCCTTGAGTGAAAAAAACCAAGTGAGAGAGTGAGGCCCTGAGTTTTTTGCCCCAGTACTGGCTCAAGAAGGTGAAGGAGGAGAAGAAAGAGGAGGAGCAAGAGGAGGAAGAGAAGGAGTTGGGGGGGGGGAATGAGGAGGGGGAGGAGAAAGAAGGAGGACAAGGAGGAGAAGGAAGAGAAGGAGGAAGGAGGAAGCGTAACAATTAAGAGGAAGGAGGAGGTAAATGAGACTTTGGCTTGTAAGTATTTGTCCGATCACAAAGGAGAAACCAGAAAGGCTTCCTGTATCTTACAAGATCGCAACAGTGGAAGGAAAGCATGCCCAGGAAGAGGCCAGTGTTCTGGGTTTTCCACACACCCCTGGCTTATCCAGCTGCCAGGCTTTGTGACTGAGGCAAAAACACACAGTGAAGTCCTCATGAAATGCCAATGCATTGGACAGGCTGCTTCTCCTGATCTGCCCTGCGCAAGTCTACCCACTGGGTTTGGTTTTCAGTTCTACTCGTGGTAACACATCTTCAGTTGTCTCTCTTAATATTTTCTCTCCTGATGTTTTCCAGGAGCTGGATCGCATTGTCAACCAAATGCTGCATATTGCCCAGTACCTGGAGTGGGACCCCACAGAGCTAAGGCCTGTGAGTTTCTGTAAGCATGGGTTGGAAGTTCCCAGGAAGGCAAGGTCGTATTCAGAATGTGGGTGCAAATGTTTTGTGCACTAGCGCTCCCAGACTTGTCTTCATTGGCACCTTGAACCTCAACCTCCCACTTCTCTGCCAGACAATACATACACAGCAACCACAAAAGTCATAGACATAATGGAGATTATAATTCTAGCCAAGTGCAAGTCAAAGAATCTAGGGTCAGAAGTAAGTTTAGAGCTTTCTCTCAACTACCACATGTCACTAACAATAATAACTGCATTTTCTGAGGTCTTCTGTATCAGGTAATATGTATTTATATGATTATAATAGAAGTATAATTTATAAATATGTATTTATAAATATGTATTTTCACTATTGTCATATACATGTGTTACATTTATGTATTTTTTTCGAATCCTCATTACAATTCTCCAAATGTAGCCATTTTTATTTCCATTTTTACAGATGTGAAACCTAGATCCCAGAGATTTGGGGTGACCCAAATCTTTGCCAGGTCAGGGCAAAGCCAGACAAAGAGCCCAGATCCCCTCACTACTAGTCTGGCTCCTCGAAGCTCTGACTCATTCTGAATAAGAGGGGAAATGGATACAGGAGAAAACAAATAATGCGAGACCAAAGAGAAAGCGAGGGCAGAAGGGCGGTAGAAAAGTTCAGCTAAAACTAGACAATTGTTATTCTTGGATTCTGCAGATCTTGAAGGAGATGTTGCAAGGGATGGACTATGACCAGGATGGCTTCGTGTCACTACAAGAATGGGTCCATGGAGGGATGACCACTATCCCACTGCTGGTCCTCCTGGGGATGGACGAATCTGTGAGTTGATTAGCTGCAGTTCAAAACTCCTTGGTCATTCAGGATCATTAGAATCCATGTTAGAATCCAAAGCTTCTGTCCTTCTTTTCACAATGCACATGGGATGGCTCACATTCCTCTATTTCCATCCCCTTCCCCTGTTAATGTCCAGAATGTATTTATTCATTCATGTGACGTACATTTACTAGATTATTACTGGGTTAAAAATATTGCTCTGTGGCCAGACACCAGTGGCAAAAGCTGGTAATCCTAGTTACTCAGGAGGCTGAGAACTGACGATCATAGTTCAAAGCCAGCCCAGCCAATAAAGCTCAGGAGATTCTTATCTCTAATTAACCACCAAAAAAGCTGGAAGTGTAGGTGTGGCTCAAGTGGTAGATCACTAACCTAGATCAAAAAACCTCAAGGACAGCACCCAGGCCACATGTAGAAACATATACATGCATATATATATGTGTGTATATATGCATATATATGTGTATGTGTGTAAATATGTGTGTGTGCATGTACTACTAGGGGACACAGATTCAATATTTGTTTGTAAGAATCTTATACACAACCAGGCCAAGGGCCAAATGAACTTCAAAGAAAAACCCTATCTCTTCAACAACATTTTAAAATGCTGAAAGAAGTAGGGAATGGAGGGAGAAAAAGGAAGAGAAAAGAAGGAAAAATACTAATCTTTTTGGAAGGAACTTGTGATGGTCTTTTACTTAACAATAAAAACAAGCAGATAGGGTAGGGTTTTTTTGTTGTTGTTGTTACTGTTTGGTTTATTTGTTTATTTGTACCATTCCTCCGGGCCTAGCTGCGGTCCCTGAGCATTTTTTGCTCAACACTACCACTTGATGAACAGCTCCACTTCTGGCCTTTTGCTGGTTAATTGGATATAAGAGCCCCTGGTCTTTCCTGCCCAGGAAAGCATTAATATAGCATTAATTTTACATATGTAAAATTACAGAATGCTTCCATCAATGTCTTGGATATCTGATTGTTTGTTAAGCTTTTTCTAACTCTGCTATGACCACTGAGAAATCTGGGTATATCTAAATAGACCACACACACACACACACACACACACAATCTGTCTCCTAGGGAAATTATCAGCTGCATCACGTCCTGTGAGGGTAAGGAAGTTATCCCCACCTTGTGCAGAAATAACATAACCACATGATGGCACTAGAACTCAAGCAGAAATGGTTGTTTTAGTCCTTTGTGGCCTATTTGCTTAACCAATCTGTAGCTGACAACTATCTTAGTAAACACGGAGTTTTCATAGGAAATGAAAGTCCTTTGGGCTACATGAAGCTGCTAGGTCTGCTAAGGCTCTAAGTCCCCTTCTGTCCAGGAAGGAGAGAGCTATAGAAGAGCGAGGGCTGAAACCAGCCAGAGCCTCCCCAGCCCCCACCCCACCTCACTACATGCTCTGCCTCTTATTATTCCCTTGTGGTCATGTTCTAGTCATACAATCTCTGTCTCTGTTTCTTACCTGTGGAGTAGGGATAAATCTCCCTCCTCATTTGGAAATGCATACTCTCTGTTTATTTTTGTGTCTCTCGGTGTTTGGTATAGAGGAGAAATTTAATAGAAGCTTTAATTTACCATATGTCTAAAAGTGGGTTATTTGCTTCATTTGCCTTATTTTATTTAATTTTTATAATTCATTCTTAAGGTAGATGTTTGAGAAATAAAGGCGCTAGTTGATCTTTTGATTAATTATCTATTTGTGAAGTTATTCACAAAAGTGAAAACCCTTAGATTAAAAAAAAACAACAACAGGATGGGGTGGGGGGGTGAGAGGGGGGGATGGTAAGTGTATATACTAGTTCTGGGGCTTGAACCCAGGGCCTTAAACTCTCACTTGGCTTTTCCACTCAAAGCCGGGGTTCTACCACTTGTGCCACACCTCCACTTTTGGCTTTTTACTGGTTAATTGGAGATAAGATGCTCTGCCTAGACTGACTTCAAATCCTGAACCTTGGATCTCAGCCTCCAGAGTAACTAGGGTTACAGGTATGAGCCACCAGCACCCGGCTAAAGAATGCATTCTTTTACCAAACTATATATTCTTGATCATAGCACTAGTATATGCTCACCAGAGAAAAATTTAGAAAATATAGAAGAAAGTAGAATTTTAAGGGGAAAAATAAATTATTCTGCTATCAGCTACAGTTAACAACTCAGCTGTCAGGTTAATGAAATTCCTTCCCATTAAAGATCTTATTATATGAAACTGACATCATCAATATATCATTAAACTTGTATTCTAATTACTTCACTGAACACATTCTAGTATCACTAGATAATTCTATAAATATCTTTTTGATTGCCACCTACTATAACCTACGACTACCCTTTTAATGATTTGTAGGCCTTTAAATTTTTTCCAGATTTTCATTATTTTAATTAATGATGGGTTAAACATCTAACAGAGTGCAAAAGAAGCTCATTTCCCTTGAAAAATTATTTCTTGGCTGGGTTCCAGGGATTCATGTCTATAACCCTAGCTACTTGGAACACTAAGATTTGAAGCTCATAGTTTGAAGTTAATCCCTAGCAGACAAATCTGAGAGGCTCTTATCTCTAACTTTAACTGGAGGAAAAGTGTCAGAGTGGAGGTATGTTTCAAATGATAGAATGCCAGACAGATTTTTTTTTTAAGCCAAGCAAAAGTATGAGGCCTTGAGTTTGACCCAGGCAATGGCACAGAAAGAAACAAAATAAATCTATCTTTATGATAGAATCTATTAAAGGAGATTTCAAGTCGTTTAAAAGATCTTCACATAGAAAGGTATCATGAAAATAGATTGATAGATGATAGGTGGTAGGTAGGTAGGTAGATAGATAGATATACAATTTATACTTTTGCCATCCTGCTATAGAGGGAGTATTTTATCCCCTCATTCAGACATTTCTTCTTGTTTGGCTGGTTGGTTGGGTTTTAGTTTGGAGGGGCTGGGGTTTCTGTATGCCATCCTGGGGCCTGAGCTCAGAGTCTAGTGCTATCCCTGGTTTGATTTTTGTTGTTATTGTTGTTATTCTATGTTGGTTTTCCTCAAAGCCAGCACTCTACCTCTTGAGCCATAGCTTCCCTTCCAGCTTCTCAGTAGTTCATTGGCAGTAAGGGTTTCCTAGAACTTCCTGCCAGAGACTCTCAGCCTTCTTATCTAGGATTACAAGTGTGAGCCACTGGCACTTGGTTTCTCATTCAGGTATTTCCTGATTTGATATTCACTAATTTTGATTTTGATATTCACTAACTTCAGAAAACACACAGACATGAATCAGGTGACATTGATCTAGACACCATGTCCTTATAAACTGATTTGTTTGAAACTCCTTCATACAGCTACTTAAAGATAATAAAATAAAGAAAGAAAAAAGAAAACACACCAGAAGAATTTTTTATTTGTATCTCAAACAATTTATAAAGTGAATAACTTACCTGCAACTAAAAAAGAGAAGTTAGGAAGAAAAAAAAAACCCATACAGGAAGCGGCCTCTGGCTTCCTCTACCTGAGGGCTGCCAGCTCAAGGTCTCCCCGCTCTGACCCTTACAGGGCTCTAAGGGTGATGGGCGACATGCCTGGACTCTGAAGCATTTCAAGAAGCCAACCTACTGCAACTTCTGCCACATCATGCTGATGGGAGTTCGGAAGCAAGGCCTGTGCTGCATTTGTGAGTACACACACACCACACACCCCATCAACACACACACACTCACCGCACACACCATACACACACCACACACACACACACACCATACACACACATCACACACACACACCACGCACCACACACACCATACATGCACACCATATACACACACACCATACCTACACACACCACACACACCATACACACACACCGCACACACCATACACACACCACACACACCATAAACACACACACTCACTGCATACACCTTACACACACCACACACATACACACACCATACACACACACACCACACACACCATACATGCACACCATATACACACACACCATACATACACACACCACACGCACCACACACACCACACACACCATACACACACACCGCACACACCATACACACACCACACACACCATAAACACACACACTCACCGCATACACC